AGCTACAGGCAGGTGAGTTTTAATTAGGGTTGGAGCTGAACTCTGCAGGGCTGCGGCTCTCCAGGACCGGAGTTCGCCACCCCTGCTCTATGTTTTAGGTCACAAAACATTACAATAACACAGAATGAATAAAATAACTCATGCACGTTCATCTTTCCCCGCTGCTGTAACGTTAGCAGTTTTACTAAATGCTATGCATTTAGCCCTATGTGACGTCTGTTTTTATATTGTTTATCAACAGTATACATTTTTATATTGTTTGGATTAACTAGCGGAGTAGACAGATATGAATGTTTATTAACCATACTGAAAATAAGTAAATATTGTTAGCTGATGCTAATTGTCTAGCTAACGAGCTTGCTGGTGCTAAATTGAGGTCATTTTTAAAAAATAAAGTCCAACTATTTTTATTCAACCACCTAGATAGATTACATCTGGGGGAAAATAAAGGATGTGATGTTCAGAACATGGTAACTACATCAAAGTGGGAAGTGATGCCGTCTGGGGGCATTTGGCCAGGGGTGTTTTTACACCACAGACAAGGTTTGAGAAGAAAAAAATCATTATGAAAATATAATTATATTTTCCTTAAAATGTTCTATCTAACTTCAGGCCTTATTCTCATGTCATATATAACTGTGATGTTCTGCAAAACAACAAGCTTTAAAACACTTTTTTCTTACTGGTGAAAATCAGATGGTCAAATCTGTTTTCTCTCAGGTACTTCGCAGTGTAAGCTTCACAGTGAACATTACTACATCACTCTCGTCAATGTAGTCCATATCAACAACAAAAATATATCTTTTTAGAGATTCCATTTAGTGGTTATTTTGGGAAAATCCCAGGTATTTTGAGCAGTAGGATTATAATTTTGTCTTTTTGATTATTTTGTCTCCATACAAGTGGAGCATGCAGAGTAGGAGAAGTATAATGGGTCATCCATTTATTGTCAGTGAATTGTCGCATCATGCCAGTATTACTGATTATAATGGGATCTGTTGGCTTTTGACGCATCTAAGTTTGAAGGTGTTTGGCAGAACGTCCAGTGTAGACAGCCTTTTGCAATCCACTTTGCTGCTTTTCCATTATTTTTCTATGTACGCATGCACTATACACAGTGCATTCATTGTTAGTTGCATTCATTTTTCGTGACTTTTGCGGTATCTCATGCATTTCATAGCATTCTAAAAATGCAACACTCAAGTTTAAAGAAGGTTCCTGTTTAATATTTTAAAAAATGCAGCTACACACTTTACGTTGTTTTCATTCCACTACCATGCCTCTCTCGTTTTTAAATGCAAAAACACATTCTGTAGCCCCTCAAGCTATTACAACGCAATGCAGCAATGACCATGCCGAATGCAGACACATTGTTAATCAATATTAAGTTACTCGGTATTAACTTGTCTGTTGGAATACTTTGGGAATATTACACTCTCAGTCTTGCTTTTGAATGCCTGTAGTATCATCTTGGAGTTGTACTGACTGCAAACTGGATTTGCTCTTTTGACAGTTTTGTAATGCTATGTTTTCTTACCAGACGATCTTATTAATATTTAATTTGTATAGTATTATTTTTGTATACAGTATATCACCCTAAATTTATGTTAAATTCTATTTATTAAAAGAAAATCCATCCGTCTATCTTTTTCCTTTTTGTTGTATTCTATCCTTACAGTATAATCATCTCCTGTAGACCTAGTTTTTCTTTTTTCCTCATATTTCACCCCCCTCTCTCTGGATCTCTTGCCAGTGTTGGCTCAGAGCTCTCTCATCCTGCATAATATTGCTTCTCAGCCGATAAAACAGCAAGTACAAATCCCGCTCCAGAATCAATGGGCACAGTTATTCCTGTGACCCCTGCCAACCAGCTGGCCACCAGCCACACAATCCCTCAGCCAACATGTGAGCTGACAGACCACTGCAGCCCTGCACTGTACCCGGCCTCCCCGGGGGCCTGCTGGACCAGACACTGTGTGTCTCTGTGTGTTCAGGTGCATATGTGTGTGCGCTGTGGTCAGACTCTTTCAAAATACCTGCGTGAGGTTTGGAACAGCTTCATTTTCCACCAGGCCACCTAGTGAGTTTAAAATACCTGCTTCTCCTGAACTCGAACTTTAGTGGGTTTTCAAGAGATTGACTGGAATATTTGAGAAGCACTGAAGTAGATCTTTGTCTTTCTCTTTGAATAGTTTAGCTTTTCATAAATCTGGGGATGCACTAATATTGAAATTATGTGTGAAACAGATTCAATAAATTAAATCTAGATAATTATATAACAAATTTTGTTATGGCCACTATAATATATATTATATATATATATATATATATTTTTTTTTTTTTCAGATTTGTTCTCTTAGATAAATTTTAAAGTCAATTTACCTTTTTATATTTCCATTTTTTTAGAATACATTTTTACTAAACATTCTGCTCAAATCTTCAAACCTAAATTTCAGTTTAAAAAGTATAACCAGTTATGCAAACAACCTGAAACCAGCAACTTGTTTCACAATATTTTGTGATGTATTCCTTCCTGGCATTTTCTTACTGTAATCATCTTTTTCCGGCTGGTTTGGGAACGTGGGCAGTGTAGTTGGCAGGCTGTATTTCGGCCCTCGGAGCTCACAGTAGCTTTATTCACATTCAGATCACGCAATTCTTATTCTCTGCTGTGAGCTTATCTAAAACCCCCAAAGTAAAACGCTGCTAAAACATCACAATTAGGCTGTGAGAGATATATAGGTCAGTTTCATGCTTAATTCTTATTCTTGCGTAATACATTACATCATGTTCTTAAAGAAAGACCCCTTTGTTCCCATCTCATGCAATGCTTAGAAAAATATGAATTTTATTTCATTGTTGTTTTTTCCTGAAAACTACTGTAGGAATATTAATATACACTTTATTTCAAAGTATTTATAATTATTTATTGCCCTTATATTTCAATTCTGCAAATAACACAATCACAAAGTTGCAGTACTATAATGCTAATGTTGGTCCCATGTTTTCCACATCTCATTTTTCTCACATTTTCTAATGCCTAAAATCCCTCTTTTTTTCAGTGCAACAATGATTATGTTCCTGTGTGCGGCTCCAACAACGAAAACTATGAAAACGAGTGTTTTCTGCGGAGAGACGCCTGCAAACAGCAGACCGAGATCCTGGTGGTCTCTGAAGGATCCTGCCCAGCCGGTACGTTCAGTCGTGTGTTTGGTGTCTCTTGAAGGTTAATCCACAGCCTAATCATTTGCCCATAAAATGTGAGTATGAGGTTATCAGATTGAGCAGAACTGCAATTTACTCATGCCTCAGCTCTGAATCAGACAGGGACTCATATCTGTGTTGTGTTAAACATGTTATACTGTACTATAGTCAGACAATACCCATAATACCTTTTACAGGCTAGAACCGTATATATTACTGCTTTGTGTAAAGCTTTTGCTGTGTTTTAAAACCTGCATTCAGAGCTTTTAAAGGCACAAAGGCTTTTTCACAAGACTGCTATGTTGTTGTATATGATTTTAGAAAAACGTCCCCCTTTTTCCTCTTATATTAAAGGAGTAAGCATTGCATGTTTATGGCAAATCAACGAGCGAAAGTGTGTTCTGTGGTCAGTAAGATGGTGTATTGCGGAGGCTAAAGCAGATGTTTGGTGCTCTGGGAGTTGCTGAGTCAGACTCCATTAAACAGGGCCTAAACACACTGAAACCTCTAAAAATGATCTCTAGGGAGAGAGAGAGTGTGGGAGGCAGTGTATTTGTGCTTATGGAGCATCCAGAGAATGAAACGTGTGTGTATGCAGGTAAAGTCATAATTCAGTCCCAGCAGGATGTTGGTTCTCATCTATGCCTGAATGTGTACGAGCATGTACTTGTCTGTAGGTGTTCTGGAAGGTAAAAGCTAATTTACTGAAACAAGCTGCAGAAAACAAGAAGAGTGTTTGTCTTTGTCTCCGGGAAGCTTGAATGGCGCCACTGAATCATCTCTCATCATCTCTCTGTTTGGCTCTGTCTGTCTGAATACTTTCCTGTCATCTTTTGCTTTTATTTCTCTTTTTACCAGACCAGTCTGGTTCATGGATATAACTCTGAAAACAAAAGCTGAAATTATAGTTGTGATCAAGGATGTCTTGTTTGGCTAAGCGGTGCAAAAAATCACAGTTTTTTTATATCTATCATGTTTTGTTTCCTTCTCGATTAAGTAATCAAATTAACTAGAGATGCACCGATTGCAATTTTTTTGGCCGATTCCGATTTCCGAACCGATCCGGGCCGATCATGAGGAAAATCGGCCGATTCCGATCCCTGGCCAATCGATCGGTGCATCTCTAAAATTAACCACATATATCTGCAATTGCAGAGAAAAGTCTCCAAATGAAGATAATTCAAAGACATTACACTATTGTGACTGCGGACTTGCAAAAATAAATAAGTAATTAAATAATTTATATACTACTACTGTTATCTTATGTTCAATAAGGCTGCATTTATTTTAATACAGAAAGTAATATAGTAGAATTTAATAACAATTTAACATAACTTTTCTATTTGAACGTTTTAAAATTTTATTTATTCCTGTGATGGCAAAGCTGAATATTCAGCAGCAATTACTCTTTGTTCTAGTCTTTGCTGTCACATGATGCAAGAGAAACATTTCTTATTATTCATGTTGAATACATTTGTGCTGCTTAATAATTTTGTGGAAACAGTGATATTTTTTTAGGATTCTTTGATGAATAGAAAGTAAAAAAAAAAAAAAAGCATTTCTAATCTTTTCTGTTACTATAAATGTCTTTACTGTCACTTTTGATCAGTCGAATGCATTCTTGCTAAATAAAAGTGTTCATTTATTTAAAAAAAAAAAAAATCTTACTGACCCCCAAACTTTTGTATTATATGTAGTGTGTATATATACAACAGCCCCACTAATCTTGACTTTGTAGCATGGTTGAACAACTACAAAACTATAAAGAAATGTCAATAGAGTTTTTCACCATATTATAGTAGAGAAATTGTAGTAGAAACCATAATTCAAACCTGAAGCCCATCAGACATTCTCAACAGATGCATTCAATTCCTTACCAATTTGATTTTGACTATGTTCAATTCAGATTTAATAGTTCATTTTACCCACATCATTATGCCAAGGATTAAATTATGTGGTTGAACAAAAAATGAAATTTACCTGAAACCCTGGTGAATGCTTAAAGCTCTGTCTACAAGAGCTTTAAGTAAGACCAAAAGAATATATCCACAGCCCGATGAGATTTTCACACTTTCAGCCCTGAGGACGTTGTGGAAAGAGACAGAGAAATGGACTGCCTCACAGTTTGATGCTTGTACCAGCTCATCTAACTCTTTGACACTGATTTCCTCTCCACTAATTCCCAGGCAAATGATCCAGCAGCTGACAGATGACCTACAGAGATAAGTGAAGTGTATCACACTCTGCTATTTTCTTTATTTCTCCAAGGCTGGTTGCAGCTCAGCTCCTCTGTCTTTATTCATACATCAGTATCATAACTTGAAAGTGAGCACCTTCATGCACCAGGAAATAGAACATTGATTGTAATAACCGGAGAAGTATTAAAGGCGTCATATCACATCATATTACATTTTTATAGTTTGTCATATTTTAGGTTTTCATAGATTTCCCATTGGTTCTTTTTCATGGATATTTCCCAGCCTTTATCTTGCTTTTGGAATTAAATGCTCCTGTGCCTTTAAGAAACACCTTTGCCATTATAAACATATGTGACAAAGTTTACACTATGAAAACTGATGCTTACAAGTAAGCCTGCAATTTCTTATCCATTACAGTATAATGCGGAGGTGTATGCAACAAACATTGAAAAGTTTGAGGTCAGAAAGATTTTTAATGTTTTGGAAAGAAGTCTCTAATGCTTACCAAGGCTGCATTTGTATGACCAAACAGTAAAAATAAATAATATTGTGAAATATTATTTAAATTTACTATAACTCAATTCTATTTTAATATATTTTAAAACATAATTTATTGCTCTGATGTTTAAAAATATTTTTGTAAGATTGTAAATGTATATACTGTCTTTACTAAATTATTTTGGACAGTTTTATTTATTTATTTATTTTGCACAAGGTTTCAGATTTGGGCCTGTGGTTGTTGCTCTCCATGGTGCTGAATCCCATTCTGCATGTTAAATGATGCTAAATGGATTCCCAAGTGTCATTGCTCTTGTCAATAACAATCCTTCACTTCTAGTCTACAGGCAGTATTAAAAGTTATGGTACTGTTTAAAGTCCATGAGTTACTGGCATAGTCACTAAATTCAGCTGTAATCTCATTTACCAACAGTCATTTCCAATACTGTTTGGTGAAATCATGTTATTCCCTTGTCCCACTAAATAATTTCACCATCCTTTACTGCTTCAAACCTCTGCTCTATCACACTTGACTACTGAAAATTGATTGTAGCTTAGTTTCTTGCTGTGCTTCGTTGAAACTTTCAGAAAGGTCTTATGTGCCAAATTTTTTTTAAACAAAGCTCTGAGTAAGTACTTTTAAAGGTATTTAGTCTGACTGGGGTATAATAAACTCTATGTATTATTATGTGCCAAATATTAAGAAGTATGGCAGAGGTAAGTATATGCTTCTCTCTTTTTTCTGGCATTGATAAGTGGGCTATTTACCTCGCAAACGGGCAAGTTCACCGCTGTGCTGCTGTAAGATCAGTGTGAATAATGCGCTGATTAAAGAGATGGGCCATGTGCTTATATTGAGTTTTCAGTGCGGCGCAGGGCAGCTAGCCATTAGCTTAGTGGTGCGTAACTGTAGAGAGGAGAAGGCAGTTCATTTTCGACATTGGAAATCGAGGTTAAGATAGCCTTTCTCCGTAATCGCACTCCATGTAGTGCTAAAGTAGCTTTCTCCATGCAGGGAGCATGCATCATATTCCAAGAAATGACTATTACATTCACAAAACTCTCACATAAACAGCTCAACAGGCCTGTTTTATCATTAAGTACTATGTTACCTGACGCACACATGTCGTTCAAGCACGCTGTTCTGGATATAGTTAATTGTGTGTTGCACAGCGGCATGTTAAATTACAGCTGCGTTTGTCTCTGCTGACAGAGACCATCTGCCTCTGAGCCTCCAGCTCAAGTTCACTCAACCTATTGCATCATGGGAGCCCAGATAAAAAAAGTGCAAAGTCACCTGATAACACATTCTTCCTGATAAATGACAATGGCAGAGGAGATGCGTAACCCGCTGATACCTCTGAATGAGGAACAAAGGTCTCTTACACTTAATAAGACTGCTGCCATTGTTGTGTGCCAGCAAACTCAGCAGAGTCCAGTCTCACAGGAAGAAGTGTGCCGAGAAACAGACTGTTCGTCTCGCTTTACTCTTCCAGCCACACTGTGAAATAGACTTTTTGATGTACTAGGGAACTTCATGAATGTTTGAGGCAGTGGAAGGTTTTCCACTTTTTTAACCCAGTGCTTCAGGACAGGTTCATTGGTTCTGTTTAGTTTTAGCCGTTTAAGGTCTTCAGTTTTTATAAGGAATGATGAATTGAATACAAGGATGGATCGTTAGTGAATACAAGGACGGATAGATGTAGACTATTTATCTGTTTAACCCTATAAAGTTGTATATATCATTTTAAAAATGTAGCTTACTGATGACTCTACTGTACATTATTAACATCATCAATACCTGAAAAAACTTTTGTACTTTTGTACTTCTATATTTTTTACATATAATTTCCAAAATGTTGGCCTCTGTAGCACAATGCACAGATACCTGTTTGCTGAGATATTGTTGAATTTTGATAAAGCAATGGCAAGATCAATAATAATATGATGATTAAAGCAAAGTAATGCTACGTTTATTGACGAAATGAACAACCAATTTTTCAATTTATGATACAGCAGGTATTTTAGAAATAATTATTTCTATCATATTTGTGATGTAATTTTATGACGCCGAGCACAAATAAACATCATCATTAAATCATTACATTTAAATGAATTAAAATCTAAATATTATTGTACTAGGATATATTTAGTGAGAATTGATATATATATTTGGTTTTTTTTATATGCAGCCTGTTCTGTCATTTAATTTTTATAGTGAAAATGAATTCAGTTCCAATAATGTTCTTTCTACCAGATTATTGCTCATAATAATAAATGTACACATTTTGTTGTCTGGCTGTTATGTATGTCAAGCTTTACAGAGTTTACTCACTTTATACATATATGCAGGTGAAAGCATGTGAAAGCATATCAAATAAACAGGTAGAAAGTATTTTGACAGGTTTAGACATATTTTTTGCATTGAAGCCATAGCTGAGTTTTTCATGTCCAGATGGCCAGAGAGCATCGCTCAGATGGTCAAAGACAGATTGTGTGCGGCATGTCTCTGAATTAAGAATGCAACTGTCAGGCAATTAGAAAAACTGACAGCAAATAAACCAGTCTGATGCCTATGGGATGTCCCCACTTTTCACAAAAACAAACCTGTGTGTGTGTGTGTGTGGTTTCACAGTGAACAAAAAAAATCTTTTTTTTTTATTTATTTTTTTACCGCTGGACACATGTTTTTAGCTTCTTGCGATGAAAATTGATTTAAACTGTACAGATGTATTTAGGAATCTAAATCTATTTAATAAATTCTTGCTTTGTATCCAATTGCTTTGTATCTAACCCATAGACCCACACATGTAAATTACAGTGTGTTTTTGTTTGAAGATACGTATGCATAGTTATATCTTGCTATCCTTTCCTCATTTCCACTTGAGTGTCTTTTTATACCATCATATCCAGTGCATCATTTACATTATGATACTTGACTATACTTGATTTTAGAGTCATGTTTAAACAAATATTGTGGCAGTAAAACCATGAAGCCCTGGACTTTTCTGTTGTTATGTGCAAAGAGTGTGCAGAAGGGTTATAGTTTCTATGGTTTAAGTTGAAACACCGATTCTAAATCAGACTGCGATGAATCAGAGTATGTGTGCATTTATAATATCTCCCTCTTGCATCATTCGTGCAGCCCACTTCTGACTACATGAGCCAAATGGGTCACATATTCACCTTTGATCCTCCCACAGTTCAAGTACACAAGACCACATTTGTACTGCATACTGGGAAAGTGTGCACAGACTCCAGAGAGCCAGATGAGCAATAATGTACATGGTTTATCCATCCATCCCTCCATTTTCCAAATCGCTTGTCCTATAGGGTCATAAGGTTGCTGGAGCCCATTCCATTGTATGGCCAGTTAATCACATGTACATTCTTAAAAATGTATTTAATTCAATTTATTTACTTATTTTTATTATTGGTCTGGGAAGTTGACAAATAAACGACATGGACATGAACTTTAGATGCGGTAAAACCTGTGTGAATTGTTTGACCCGTATTGGATTGACAAAAATGACAGAAATGAAGACTTCGAAGAAGACATTGATGTAATGTTCTGCTTTTTGTGTTTTACAGATGCTGGTTCAGGATCAGGAGATGAAGGTAAGGCAGACCAGCTCAAAATATTCCAATTTTGACACCTGAATTTGTATGCATACTGCTCATTAAATCACTTTGCACTTGTTTACACTTCCCCACACATGATGCTCATAAACACACACTCACTTCCTCTCAGCCTGTCAGCAGTCATCTGCTCTCCTCCACAAGCCACCCACTGAAACTGAGATTCAATTACACCCACTCACGTATTGTTCAGAGAAACAGAATTATTACACTCTTCCCCCCAAAGTGCAATGTCTGACTGACAGTAGAACAGTCTGCGGCTCGAGCCGTATATTTGTATCGCTTAAAATGTGTCACTCTTCTTTGATTTTAATCTCTCGCTCTTCCAGTCAACCCTTTTATTCTTCTCTCTCAACCAAACAGGCCACATCCGCTAATTGAGTACTGTAACATCCCCCTGCATGCTGCTGCTTATTGTGGTCTTGTTTTGCTAGCCATTTCCTGTTTACTAGATGTGGTCTGTGCTTTTTGCAAAAAGCAGCAGCTTGGTTGGTATGTGTCATTTGGACAGGGCTATTTTTCCCTGAGGACGTTTGGGAAATTTATATTTCACAGTACTTTGTGATTTTAATCCTCTGGAGTTTACAGAGAAATTGAATGCCATCCGGATAAGAATGTCTGCAATTGGGGTATATTATTTTTTCACAAATATATATATATATTTTTTTTTTTTTCTTTACCATCCAGTAAATACCGCAACTAAATTTGCATTTCTTGTCATGCTGCCTTTTGGTTTGACTTAAGGATAATATTAATATTGTATTGTAAAATATTATTACAATTTAATAATGTATCAGTTTCTTTAAAAAAACACTACTGACACCGAACTTTTGTTTTTTAAATGTAAGTCAGATTAACACAGATTTCATGTGTTAATAATTGAATCACAAACATTGTTTAGAACAAGGATTTTTAAAATGAAAAATAGTAGTAGTATGTATGTTTGAGGCTGTAAGTTTACTGTAAAACTGTAAAAAGTACTATACATACAAATTTGAATCATAAATGTTTCTCTTCAGGTTGTATACAATGCTCTAATAGTGGGTAGAAACTATGTTATAATATTTTCCAGCTATATACAATAATACTCTTAATAGCTTACTTGGCTTCAGTTTAGTAACAATATAAAAGCTAATTACTTTGCAAACAACATGTTGTCTTTATAATGTTGCACTTAACATTTTCTTACAAAATATAAACTGGTGTTTACAGCTGCCTTTATATGTGCCTTTATATATACAGGAGTAGTTTTCTAAACCAGGGCTTTTCAAAAGTTTTAACTACTCCTGCCGAATAGTGCTTATGAAGGACTTAATTGATCATGAACTTCTCATTTAACAAGTATGCCAATTAAGAATACCTAGATGTTTTGTTAGGAAAATGGTTTTGTGTTAGTAGATGAAAGCAAATGGCTCTCTGCAGACCAGAACAATAGAGACAGAGAGAGTGGAAAGACAAGATGATGAGGGGAGAGGAGAAAATATGTATAGAGAGACAAAAGAAGAGTGATAAGAGACTGGAGAACGTGCACATCGATAAAATGAGTGGAGAAAGGAAGGAGAGGGAGAGGAAGAGGGAGAGGGAAAGAGAAATGGAAGGCAGATAAAGAGAAAGATAAGTAAAGAGGAGGAAGAGAAAGATGAGGGCGATAAAGGCTGGGTGAGGGAAGAGAGAAATGATTGCGGTTTATAGATGGAACAGAAAGAGAGTGAGAAAGAAGGGCATTTAGGTAAGCACAGCACTATCGGTGTGATAAAAATCAAATGTATTTCAATGGCTGCAGATAAATCATATGGGTTGCCTACTGGGGATGCAGGCTGCTGGACACTTACGGCAAAGCACAGAGAGAAGCCGCCCTGAGGGCCATGTAACATCATCTGTATGAGAGGCTACATGCAGAATAACACGGTTTACACTTTAGACTAAAACAATATAGAGAAACCAGTGATTATTATGGTTGATGCTAAGAGATTAGGCTTTTTCTGATTATCAAATATTTCACAACAGATGACATTACTTCTAATTCTAATGAAGTTTAGTTACCAAGTTATCTTGTATAATGATTCCCATCAACAGTGCATAACATTGGATTTTAATGACTCCATTTAGTCCTATATGGATGTACCTTCAAACACACATCAAGCACTAATAAAATATGCATTATAGCATATTCAAAAATATTTGCATGCAAAAAATTGTCTATCATTGATACACAGAATGGTCATTAATAGACCTTAAAGGGATAGTTCACCCAAAAATGAAAATTCTGTCATTAATTACTCACCCTCATGTTGTTCCAAACCTGTAAGACCTTCGTTCATTTTCTGAACACAAATTAAGATATTTTTGATAAAATCCGAGAGCTTTCTGACCCTCCATAGACAGCAATGTAACTGAAACATTGATTTGAATATAAATGAATATAAATCATGTTTACCTGCAGCACAGAGTCTTTCCCAACCTGCACATGCAATAAAGAGCTGCTTCGTCATTGACAAACAGTAGAAGACATTCGCAAGTTTTGTTTCCTACAATGGATTGTTGGTATATGTTTTCCTTACCCAGCATTCTTTTTGTTCCTTTTTACAAAATATCCTGTTATTATTGCAGTTTGATAAACCACACATGACTTTATCATATGTCAGTCCCGTTGACAAGGGATTTATCAGTAAAATTTTACTGGGGCACAGTGGTATTTCACTGAAGCTTGTGCCCCAGTAATTTTCACAACTCACAACTTTCAAAACTGTTTTATGGAGTTTTTTTTACTGAACAATCGGTATGTCGTTAAACAACATTACAATCCATTGAACACACTATGCCTCACAGCCTTGTTTTCATTCCTGTCAAAAATTAAATATGGCACCACCATGACATATGGAAAAAGATGCTGTTTGGAGTCAGCTGGTGTTCTTATGGTAGGTAGCAGGGACTAATGTGGTCATGCTAACCAGCCCAACATTGACCCCTTGTTAACATTAAATGGTGTTTTTTGTTGTTGTTGTTGTTGTTTAATTTAGTTTAATTGCAGTCCTAATGTTTAAAGACAGTCTTGGAAAAGTACTAGAGAAACCACCTGAGAATTGTCTCATTAGATCTAATTAAGTTAATTTACTTAGCGCTATTTTTTTCCTTTTGGGTTCCATGAGAAAAATATATGGCATGAGGGTGAGTAGATGATGATGAAACTACCTTTTTATTTCTATTTATATTTAATTTTATTGTGTTTATTTATTTATTTATTGCGCTTTGCTTTCAATTCAAGAAGCAAATATCTTCGTTCCATCGCTGTGAAGCAAGAAACGCCCCATTTTATTCAATGATTAATAGCTGTATCACTTCAGCTGTCAAAACTGCAGCAGTACGGCTCCAGCAGCACTTCATTATTTCTAATTACTTCCAAATGTAATCCATTTACTGTGTATCCAGGGCTCTGCATCTAGAATCCATTATGTATTTAATTTTGGTAGATTTTCTATAATCAATACAGACAACACAGACACAGGAAGCAGTCTTTAAGGGAGTTGGCTAGTGTGCTTTGGGTTTTCGTTTTGTGTTTATTTGGTCTTTGCAGCTGCGGTCGACCGCGTTTGATCTTTCACATAAAAATGGTTGTTAAGTCGTGCCTTAAACTGTTGTAAAATACTCCGCAGCTTCTACCGGAGGGAAATTAATGACCTCACGTTCCTGAGGTGACGACAGTCAGCTGCACAGCCGTCTGCGGGTGAGGACCTTCCTCAGTCACCGTGGTATCACCATGGTAACAAGCTTAGAGGAATGAGAAAGAGAATAATCTAATCTCCCCATTTCAGCTGCTGCGATAAAGACGGGCGCAGTGCCGTCTGGAATGGGAGGTGAAGACTAAGGAAAAGTGTCTGGCTGTGCTCAGAGTTTGTGCGCTTAACATTCAAGCTGAGTGTGAACATGTGCACTGTTTCTGTACTGCAGTCCTTACTGAGTCAGATGCACTATTTATCTGTATGTGTCACTGCGGCTGGAAAAGGCTTTTAAACCATCGCAACGGATATAATTCATAAGTTCATCTGATAAAAAAGCCCTTTTGAAAAGCTCTCGGACTGGGAAAACCTGTCCATAACCTAGCTTCAATGTGAGGGTGGTGTTTTATCTTGGATTATTAAGTTTATATACTACTTCTAAGGCTGAAACCTATTTTGAGCCAATAATTAAAGGATGGCACATTGTTTATATGCTAAATTAATATTAACTTATGAATTACTTCTATTGTTGAAAGATGTTTTTGGCTTATAATCTATTAAAACATGAAAGCTATACAATAAATTGACTAGCAAAGCGTAAAGAGGAAAAGGGAATCAGACTTTCAAAATTTTGACATCCAAATTTTAGCTATATGTTTAACGCATTACTTATGTGCGCTTCTGCAGACAGGTTGTGGAGAATGTTTGTAACCCATTCTCAATGGGAAAGTGCCCAAGCAACATTGCTCAAAATAGTTGCCCGTTGTATCATCAGCCTTAGTGCTACATTTATATTTTTGAATGATTTCAAATTATTGTTGCTGCTTAACTGCTTAAAAAATGCTAATTCAATGCCAAATTTTTTAATCTTAACAACCTAATTTTATTTCTGGAAATCCACTTGAGTTTACCTCATGCCTTCTTTGGCTACATGAACCATTTTTGCTATTAATTGAATCTGGGCAGGGCAGCTATAATTCCCAGCATGCTTTGCTTGGAACTTGATTTTAAGGGGCAAAAGTAAAGACTTTAATGTCCAGTTACAATTTTATTTATAACCGTTTCTGGTAAAGATGGGGTCCTGAATGTTTCTTTATTCTACTATTTAACATGATCAAATGCTCTTTCTAGTTGGTAAATGGTTAGTTGGTATAACCTAGTAATGCGACACAAATGAAAATGGATCATGCCGTGGGCAGACATAAAGTCATGTTGGGGCTGCTAATATGGTCACTAAAAATAATTTTATTACGTTATGTTGAA